AGGCGCAAGCCCTCTTTGCACCCGCCATCGCGCACTTGCAGAATTCAGCAGGCTGGATGCGCTTTGGCCGGCGCAATTTGCCGCAAAGCCGGGGTCCTGCCCTCTGCGCCGCGCCGTCCAGGTCGCCATCCGAAGACGACGAGCCTAAGACGCGTCGTCGCACGCCGGACGCGCCCGCGACCTGTCCGCCGGCGGGGAGTCGCACCCCATCGCCGGACGAGTCGACCAATCGCCCGAGCCCTTCTCAACATCGGTTCAAGTTAAATCCGGCCAGCGGCCGGAGGGACGTGTACTACACCTCCTGAAAATTTGCCGCGCGCGTAAGTTGAAGTAGATTTGCTCGGTTGTTGACGCGGCCGTGCCCGCCTGTGCTTGCCTTGCCCGCCGAGCGTCGGCCGGTCGTTCGCGGTCTTGGGCTTGGCTTGCCCCGCCATGCTCGTCGGCCGGTCGTTCGCGGTCGCGGGTACGTCGCTGCGGCGCGCGTCGGCGGCGCGGGGCCTCGCGTCCCTCGAGTACGCCGTCGAGGCGCTGCTGGGCACCTACGGCGTCGCCGGCGTGTCCGCGGCGGTGCTGGCCCCGGACGGGTCCGGCGGCGCGGTCGTGCGGCCCGTCGTCGGCGGCCTCGCGAGCCGCGCGCGGCGGGAGCCCGTCGCGCCGGGCACGCTCTTCCAGATCGCGTCGCTGTCGAAGCCCGTCGCCACGGCGTTCGCGATCGACTTCTTCGAGGCGCGCGGCGCCTGCTTCGAGACGGCCACGGTCAACGGCCTCCTCGCGGCCTGCGGCTCGCCCTTCCGGCTCCGGAGCGCGGCCGGCGCGCCGCGGGCGTGGGCGGAGGCGGTGACGCTCGCGCAGCTCGTCGACCACTCCGCGCTCGGCATGCACTACGTGCCCGGCGTCCCGCGGTCGGCGCCGTTCCCCGACGCCCTGGCCCTCGTGTCCGGGTCCGACGCGGCGCCGGCGCCCCACGGCTACGCGAGCCTCGACGTCGACCGCGCGCCGGGGACGCGGTTCGCGTACAGCGGCGGCGGCTTCCTCGTGCTCCAGCACCTGCTCGAGGCGGCGTCCGGCGCGCCCGCGGCCGAATCCTCGACGGCTGGCTCGCGGCCGGCGGCGGCGCCGTCGACGTGACCTTCCGCCACGAGCCGCCCGCGGCCGCCGCCGTCGCCGACGGCCACGACGACGCGGGGAACGCCGTGCCCGGCGGCCGGCTCAACTTCCCGCCGTGCGCCGCGGGCGCGCTCGGCTCCGCGGGCGGCCTCGGCGCCTGGCTCGGCGACCTCGCGGCCGCGTTCCGCCGGCCCGGCGGCGCGGGCGCCGTGAGCGCCGCGGCCGCGCGGTCCATGCTCGCGGACCGGCCCGACCTCGGGTCGCGCGCGTTCATGCGCGCGCGCGTCGGCCGCGGCGTCTTTTTATTCGACGCGGCCTCGCGCGACGCGGCGCGGCCGAACCGGTGGATGCTCCACCAGGCGGCGAACGACGGCTTCCGCGGCTTCTTCCTCGTCTGCTTCGACGGGCCCTCGGCCGACGGCGGGCCCGCGGGGCTCGTCGTCCTCTGCAACGGCGACAACGGCGGCGTGCTCTTCAACTGCGCCGTCGCGCGCGCGCTCCTCGCGTCCGAGGACGCGTTCCCGGGCGGCGTCCCGGGCCTCGACTGGAGCCGCGTGCCGGACCTCGCCGACGGCTTCGACTACGCGGGCCTCCGCCAGGAGGAGATCGTCAACCTCGGCCTCCGGGACCTCGTCCTCAACGCGTTCGTCGACCCGTGAACGCGGCGGCGCGGCGGGGGCGCCGGGGGCCGGCCGGGCTACGCCGGCAAGACGCGCCGCGGTCGAGGGCGGCCCCATACATTTCTTCGGGCCACGATGCGCTCCGACCATATGAACGCGGCGGGGCTCCAGTCGAAGCATTGTGAAACACCGAATGCGCTGATGTTCCGGCCCTGATGTTCCGGTAGAGGTCTCGCGGATGTTCCGGCTTCCGGCTCTCCCGGGCCCCTCGGTCGCGTGTTCCGGTTCGCGTCCTCCGGTCGTGTTCCGGCGTGTTCCGGCGTGTTCCGGTGTTCCGGTAGATTTCCGGTCGGATTTGTCTTCTCAACTGCCCGTTCACGGCACGCTTAGTGCGCGTCATGAGACAGGGACTTCAGACCTGGGCGTCAGGCCCCTGGGGGCTGGGCATCAGGCCAGGCAAATTACGCACGGCGCCCTACCTAGGGCACAAAAACCAAATTACCCTGAGGCGAGGCACAGGTCGTCGTCAGTGCACAACAGGTGCGCCAAATTTATCTAGAGTAGTAGCAGCATCGTCGCCGCCGCCGCCGCCGCCGCCGCCGCCGCCGCCGCCGCCGACGACGACGACGCCGACGACGACGACGACGACGACGACGACGACGCGCGCGTGGGTATT